ATAGATATCCAGTGGGAGAAATAGAAATTACTTACAGACAATAGATTAAAACTGAATAGTCAAAATAAAAGCTCATGTAGTACTATTCACAACAAACTTCTGTTTTTGTTGTGCCCTTGCACAATTGGCTTTGAACATGAAATCATTAAGTTTGATTGAACAGCCCATACATTCCATCCTGAAGTCTCTGCAGTTTTTTATCAGTATCATCCTAAACTAAAGTGGGGTTTTCATCGTTCTACCTATTGGTTGGCACTAGACCATGAAATCGTTGTCTTGGAAACTTTGTGTTGCACTTCTTTTCTTCTTTACTTCTATTTTTTTGTATTTGAGATGGTTACTTGTAATCTGTGCAGGTTCCGTTGGTTCAGTACTGTCAGCAACTTGGATCGACCCTTTCTAGCCATGAAACATGCTTCACCCAAACAGCTGACTCACTGTTCTTCATGCATGAGGGGTTGCAGCAAGCACGAGCTCCTACATTTGATGTTCCTTCTGCTTTAGAGGTTATGCTTACAGGCAGTTATCAGAGGTTACCAAGATGTATAGAAGATATAGGGAGCCAAAATAAACTTTCTCCAGATGAAGAAAAACATGCTTTGCAGAAGTTGGACACCAGTGTGCGCTACAAAGTACTTGTGACTCCAAGACCCAAAGAAGCATCTAGCATTTCAGTAACTGATGGGATAGCTGTTTTTCGTGTGGATGGAGAATTTAAAGTTCTTCTTACGTTAGGTTACCGTGGTAACTTAGATTTATGGAGGATACTGCACATGGAGTTGCTTGTTGGTGAGAAGAATGGCCCTATTAAGCTGGGAGAAATTAGGAGATTTGCTCTTGGTGATGATATAGAAAGAAGAATGGCAGTTTCTGAGAATCCCTTTTCTGTGCTGTATGCTATACTTCACGAGTTAAGCATTTCACTTGCTATGGACACTATCATTAGGCAGGCTAATGTTCTTCGACACGGAAGGTGGAAGGAAGCAATAAGTTCTGAACGTATCCCAGACAGCACCACAGGTCAAACTGGAAATGCTGCTGTAATGCAGCTTGGTCAAGATGGGGAATTTGATTCAAGTGGTTTTAGGTTACCTGTGTTGAAATTGAATTACTGGTTGGATGGAAAAAACAGTGGCCCAGCAGAATCTGATTTATCCCCATTTATCAAAATTGAGGCAGGGCAAGACATGCAGATAAAATGCCAGCATAGCTCATTTATACTTGATCCTTTGACAGATAAAGAAGCTAATCTTTCTCTTGATCTGTCCTGCATTGATGTTGAGAAACTCATTTTAAAAGCAATTGCTTGCAATAGGCACACGCGTCTTCTTGACATTCAGAGACAATTGTGCAAAAATGTGCAAATTTGTCAGTCACCCAAAGATGTTATCCTGAAGCGGGACATTGGCGTAGCAAAGGCACCACATAAGGTAATGATACAAACCATTATGTTTATGTACCTTTGTGTTTTCTATGACACATGATACTATACTGAATGTTATTATGTTAATACCACAACACCACCACCACCACCACCAACAACAAAGTGTTTCGATCGCAAACAAGTTGGGCTAGGTTGAGTTGAAACCCATAAGATCTCGAAACCTAGTCATGGTTCTGGCACGTGGATAGCTAATTTCCACACACCCCTGTCCATGGCTAGTTCGTTGGTGATATTCCAGTCCTTCAGGTTTCTCTTTATGGACTCCTCCCATGTTAAGTTTGGTCTACTTATCAGTAGACATTATCCTTCGGCTATGCACCAGCGCTTCTGGAGGTCTACCCCAACTTTATCATGTATATCATCATTTCAGACCTGATCCTTTTTTGTGGTGCCACATATCCATCTCAGCATGCACATCTCTGCTACACCTAACTATTGGACATGTCGCCTTTTAGTTGTCCAACATTCTGTGCCATATAACATTGCAGGTCAAATCACAGTCCTATAGAACCTGCCTTTTAGCTTTTGTGTCAGTCTCTTGTCACAGATGACGCCAAAAGCTTGGCACTACTAAATCCATCTGGCTTTGATTCGATGGCCCACATCTTCATGAATATCATCCTTTTGCAGCATTGATCCCAAATACCGGAAATGTGTCCTTTTGAGGCACCACCTGCCCATCAAGGCTAACCTCCTCCGCGTGCCTTTTAGTATTGAAACTTCACCTCATGTACTCAGTTTTAGTCTACCAAGCCTAAAACTTTTTGATTCTAAAGTGTGTCTCCACAACTCTTAACATTCTATTAACCCCCGTCCTACAATCGTTGACTAGCACCACATCGTCCGCAAAGAGCATATACCAGGGGATATCTCCGTGTATATCCCTTGTGACCTTATCCATCACCAAAGCAAAAAGATAAGGGCTCAAAGTTGATCCTTGGTGCAGGCCTATTTTATTTGGAAAGTCATCATCGTCGCCATCACTTTTTCGAATACTTGTCACAACATTGTCATACATGTCCTTGATGAGGGTAATATCCTTTGTTGCGACTTTGTGTTTCTCCAAGGCCCACCACATGACATTCCATGGTATCTTATCATAGGCCTTCTCCAAGCCAATGAACACCATATGCAGGTCCTTTTGCTCCCCGTATCTCTCTATAAGTTGTCGTACCAACTACCAAGAAAATAGCTTCCATGGTCAACCTCCCGGGCATGAAACCAAACTGATTTTTGGTTACACTTGCCATTCTTCTTAATCAGTGCTCAATGACTCCCATAGCTTCACTGTATGGCTCATCATCTTAATTCCATGGTAATTAGTACAACCTTGAACATCCCCCTTGTTCTTGAAGACTGATACTAATATATACACTGCCTACATTCTTTGGGCATCTTGTTTGGCCGGAAAATGAGGTTGAAAAGCTTAGTTGGCCATACTATCGCTATGTCTCCAGGGCATCTCCGCACCTGAATGGGGATACAATCAAGGCCCATGGCCTTGCCTCCTTTCATCCTTTTTAATGTCTCCCTGACCTCCGACTCACAAAATGTCCGTTGTTGTCATCAAAGCAGTCATCCATCTCAATGGCAGAGCCCTTATTCTCTCCATTGAACAGTTTTTTGAAGTACTCTCGCTATCTATTCTTGATCTCCTCGCCCTTCACCGGACATCAATCTGTTCCATCCTTCATGCATTTGCCTTGGTTGACATCCTTTGTCTTCCTCTCTCGAATCTTGGCCGTCTTATAGTTGTCTCTTTCGCCTTCCCTCGTGTTTAAACGTTGGTAGAGGTTCTCATATGCCGTCCCCTCGCTTCACTCGTAGCTCGCTTTGCAGTCTTCTTTGCCACTTTGCACTTCTCAATGTTGTTTTCACTCCTATCCAGGTGTAGGCGTCTGAAATAATCGTTCTTCTCATTAATAGCCTTCTGAACATCATCGTTCCATCACTAAGGGCCAATCCATTTGAGGCTTATGCCTGGCTGTGGTAATAAGCTCAAGCTGCTCCCTCCCCATCTTATTCTAGAAGCCCAACCTAAAATTTTATTTTAGAAGCCTACTAGTTAACACTTACTCCCTCCGTCCCATAATGTAAGACGTTTTTAACACTACAATAGCAGCTAATTTCCACAGCCAGCCATAAGCCCTAAAAACTGGCCCCAAGTATCTTTAGCTTCTCTTCTACTTCCCCTGGTCACCCCAAACTCCTCTAAAGCCACCTTCCGAACATAAATCGCCATCTGCATCCACATATTGTTTGCATCACCTCCTTCCTCCCAAGAGCCCTCCCTAATAACCCTCTCCTTGAAAGCCTAAGGTGCCTCCCCCTTGAGCTTCCACCACTTTGTTCTGGTGACTTTGACGTGATTATCACGATGGACACGTATCCAAAGCTGAAGTCAGCCATCACAAGCTTATGTTGAGGGACAACACTCTCTCCAAGTATCACCTTACAATCTAGGCAAGCATGCCTGTCTTATCTTCTTGAGAGGATGAAATCAATCTGGCTAGAGTGTTGACCACTACTAAAAGTCACTAGATGGAATTCTCTCCTTTTAAAGAGGGTGTTAGCTTCGATCATATTGTAGGCTAAAGCAAAGATCAAGACACTCTCCTTGATTCCTGCTGCTATAACCAAAGCCCCCATGTACCCCTTCAAAACCTGTGTTAGATGTACCCACATGACCATTGAGATCTCGCATGAAGAGCTTCTCCCCAATAGCTACACTCCTGATCAAGTCCTCCAGGCCTTCCCAGAACTCCCTCTTGGTACTCTCATTGTGGCCTCCTTGCGGGGCATACGTGTTGATAATATTGAGAAGTAAGTCCCCAGCGACCAGCTTGACTAGGATAATCCGCCCCCTTGCCTCTTGACGCCTACCACTCCATACTTGAGGCTCTTGTAGATCAAGATGCTCACTCCATTTTTGTTTGTAGTTACCCCGTTTACCACAGCTTGAAGCCGGTATCCTCCACCTCCTTCGCCTTCTGTCCCTTCCATTTGGTTTCTTGGAATAGGATATCAACACCTCTCCTCATCTTATCAACTAACTCCTGTAACTTACCCGTCAGGGACCCTATGTTCCAGCTACCTAAGCAGATTCTACTTGGCGTGGCTAGCTTCCTTACTCTTTGCACTCGTCGTGTCAAATGCAAAAACCCTTGCTCACTTTTCACTACACCCAGGTGTGGATGTAGCCATTAAGGATGCGACGACCTGATCCTTGCTCACTTATCACCATATCCAGATGATATGGCGCGCCACCATGGGGGTGACGACCTGGCCCATGCTCATTTAAGACCACACCCGGGTTTCCTTGTACCATTTGTGAAAAATAGAGCTTCCCTAAACTCGGGTAGTACAGTCCCATTATTAAACAATATTATGTGGACTGTTTGTTTATCGTACCATTGGTGGAAATGCATTATGGTTCCCATGTTGCTTGTTGGGAACTTGTAGACATGGTCACTTTTCATTGTTGTTGAAAGTCATACCCTTTTGTTGTACTATATGCGGCATGTGCTAATATGTTACCTGGTGGGTATTGTCTTGACTCTTCAGATCTTGAAGCTAAACATTCCCGTATTTCCAAAGCTTTACTTACTATAAGAATATATTGGTTATTTGCTGACATTTATAGTGCCTAATATGCTGATAAGCGCAGAAGACAGAGAAAGCGAGCTTTGCAGATTTTTGTGGAAATGAAGTGCTTCAAGTGCGAGCATATGGTCAAGCATATATTGGTCTTGGAGTAAATATCAGGTTTGTCAGCACTACCCGTGTTGTTATGAATTAACTTATTGGATGTAGACCTAGTGACTATTGTTCAACTTCACCCCCTCTTGCTTAGAAAATAATCTTTTCACTTGTAATTCCACAACCCATTAGGTTCTTTGTTTGCCTCATTTTTTTTTTAGCTTGTAGGATCACACTGTTATACCTATAATATTGCTGAGATCACATTGTTCATCTGTCACGGTTGTGGGCATCCACCACGAGGTACACAAAAACTATCAAGCCAGGCACACGATAGTTTTATTAAGATCAGCATTAGTTGTGTTTACTTGCTGTAGAGTAAGACAGGGTTAGTTTCCTTTTGTTAGAGTAGGCTGTAGGACTGGCTCCATTTTACAAAAGAGGGCAGGCATCATTTTCATTCAGCAACAACAGTACAACAACAACAACAACAAAGCCTTTAGTCCCAAACAAGTTGGGGTAGGCTAGAGGTGAAACCCATAAGATCTCGCAACCAACTCATGGCTCTGGCACATGGATAGCAAACTTCCACGCACCCCTTTCCATAGCTAGCTCTTCGGTGATACTCCAATCCTTTGGGTTTCATCTCCATAAGAGTGGCTGAGTTTTTACGTTGGCTCGCCAAGCCTATCACAACCCTCCTCCTTTACCCGGGCTTGGGACCGGCTATGTTGAGACAACATAGGCGGAGTTAAAAACCCCTCCGACTGCCTGTCCTCAGCAACAACAGTAACAAAAAAAAACCCCTCAGTACCAAGCAAGTGCCACTGCCTGTCCTCAATCTTCCGACTCGTACCGATCCATGCATATGCTTGTGATGTATCATGGTAGACAGTCTAGGACGGTTATAGCGTTGATTGCATTTCTACTGCTGATCGCGCTGCAACCACAACGTTTTTCTTAGTGGTAGGACTGATCCTAGAAAGTTAAACTGGTTGGTGATGGCTTGATTATTTTTCGTTTTCACTTGTTTCCCTAGATCCATGTGTTCACTTCCCCACTCATAAACAAGTGCTACAAAATGTTGTTCAAGTAAGTATTGTGCTATGCATCACTCAAGAATCGAAAGCTACTGCTTCTGAGAAATTTTTGATGGACATTGTCCCTTCAGTGCCGGAATCTGTTATAGCCGTACTGTCTTAGCTTGAAGCATGATCAGATGAAGGCTAGATATTTATGCTTATGCCTTGTGATGTATTCCAGTCTGGTCTTTTTCAGTTTCATAGTACTGCAACTCATTTCTCTCTTTAATAGGAGTGGTCGTTTCATCCTACAATCACCAAAGAATATCTTACCTCCTTCCGCTCTGCTGGATTGGGAAGAAGCTCTAAACAAAGGCAGTAACACAGCGACTGAGGTTTTCTCAAGCTTAAGGACTAGGAGCATCCTCCATCTGCTTGTATCTACTGGAAGTTTTTTTGGCCTCAAGGTTGCCAACTGTCTTGATAATATCATGATGTCTTTATTTCTGAATTTTATTAGCAGGTGCAGTATTATAATCCCTCTATCTGAGAGAACATTACTGTGGGATGCGCGCAGTTGCACTTTTGCCACTTTAACCAACTACATCACTAGAAAAGGGCCATGTGAAAATATCAGAATCATGAGTTGATTTGTCATGAAAATACTTGAATAATACTCCCTCTGTTCCAAAATAATAAGGTGTATTAGTTTTTTCAAAAGTCAAACATGTGCGCATGTTTGACCAAGTTAATAGAAAAAAATACCAATACTTACAGTACCAAATTTGTATCATTAGACCCATCACGAAAAATATTTTCATATTTTATTTACTCTGTATTGTAAACGTCAATATTTTATTCTATAATCTTGGTCAAACATACACAAGTTTGACTTGCACGAAAATCGATACACCTTATATTCTGGAACGGAGGGAGTATATATCATATGTGGGGCTGTGGTACATTCTGGTTCAAGCATATTCCTCTGGTCCTACAGATTTCCACTTCTCCCCATTCCCTCTCGCAGGATTAGTCTTATCTCTTATGTTATAGAAAAACATATGTGTAAAGTACACTAAATCATAAATGTGTATACCTCCTCTCTTCCAGTTTTAAGGCCTGCTTGTATTTTTAGGTCGTTAATTTGATCAATGTAATACAAGTTATATGCCACAAAAAGTTTATCATAAAATTTGTAAGTTGAATGAGTTTCTAATGGTGTATAACCCATATTAAGTTTATCAAATTGACGATCTAGAGATACGCACAGGCCTTACAAACCAGAAGGGGGGTAGTTTATCTTTGCTGTACTGTTAATGTTGTAGGCTCGGGATACCATGCTCAGTCACTAAGCAGCAAGAAAGTGGACTCCAGTCTGGCAGCATCTGGAAGCGTAGTACTCCCTCCGTCCCAAAATAAGTGTCTCAATCTTAGTACAACTTTGTACTAAAGTTAGTATAAAGTTGAGACACTTATTTTGGGACGGAGGGAGTAGCATATTAGCAAGGTCTAGGGAGTCCGACGTTGAAGAAACTAGAAGTATTATCTACTTCTCGTTGCCCTCTTGTACTGACACATGCGGCCAGGGTTCTCCTGCCCTTGCCACATCTTCCTGCAATGGTTCCTAAGCTCCCACCTTTCAATCTATCCAGCTCCTCCCACCAGCTGTTTTCTGTTGAGCAACTTGTGTGATTTTGTATTAGAAATGTTTGAGGCCGAGAACAATTCGTGTGGTTTTGTAATAGACATCGTAGCCTTGAAATACCAGCGGG